ATTCTCATGGTATCATTAGATATTCCTGTCTCTTTTAATATAGTTACTGATTCTCAATATGCAGAAAGAGTTGTTATCCATATTGAAACCACAGAACTTATTCCAGATGATTCAGAATTAACTTTGTTATTTATTCAGTTACAAGAAATAATCAAAAATAGAATTAATCCCTTGTATATAACATGTACCAGATCCCATATAGGTCTACCAGGCCCTCTAGTACAAAGTAATAATGAAATTGATCAGCTATTGGTATGAAATGTGCAAGAGGCCTCAGAATTTTACAGTGTTAATAGCAAAGTTTTGAAGAAAGATTTTTCTATCACTTGGCAACAAGCCCAGGGAATTATAAGGAACTCTTCTATTTGTTCTTTGTGTAACCAAAGTCCATTACCTGCAAGAAGTAACCCAACAGGTACTCAAAGAAATTAAATTTGGCAAATGGGTGTGTTTCATTTTTCAGAGTTTGGAAAATTAAAGTATGTGCACCATACCATGGATACATACTCAGGATTTCAGTGGCCAACTGCTTTGAGTTCTTAGAAGGCTCTGTAATTACACATTTATTAGAAGTTATGGCCATTATAGGAATATCTGTATAAATTAAGACTGACAATGCTCCATCATGTCTCTAGCAAAATGAAACAATTTGTTGCATATTTCAACATAAAGCATATTACAAGTATTGTGGTGATATATTGTGTGTCAAATAAAGTTTGCCTGAGAATCAGAGGATAGAGCCAGCCACTAGATTAAACATAAAGGCCAAGCAGTGGTGGCACACACCTTTAATCCTATACTTGAGAGGCAGAGATCCATCTGGATCTCTGTGAATTCAGAGTCACCCTGGACTACATGAGATTAATCCAGTTTAAAGGAGAAACAGCAAGACAGTGGTGGCACACATCTTTAACCCCGGTACTTGGGAGTCACATGCCTTTAGTTTCAGCACTTGAGATCTCATGCATTTGCTACCAGTATTTGAGAAGCACATATTCCTTTTAACCCAGAACTAGGAAGGTTGAGATAGAAAGTGAAGTGGCTGGGCAGAGAAAGGTGTATAAAGTGTGAGGAGACAGGAACTCGAGACTTTTTGGCTGAGGACTCAGAGGCATTCAGTCTGAGGATTCATGAAGACAGGACTGGCTGAGGAGATGGTGAGGTGAGAAGTGACTGTGGCTTGTTCCTTTGTCTTTCTGATCTTTCAGCATTTACCCGACATCTGACTCTGGGTTTTTATTATGAGACCATTTAGTATTCATGCAACAAGTATAGCACACAATCCTACAAGACAAGCAGTTATAGAAGGATCTAATCATACTTTAAAAGATATGCTTAATAAAGAGAAAGGGGTAATAAAGACCCCCAAAATAGATTACACAGTGCCTTATTGTCTTTAATTTTTTTAATGTTAATGAAAAAGGAACAGCAACTGCAGAGAGACATAGTATAATAGAAAAAACTGCTGAATTAAACCAGCCTATATATTTTAAAGATGTGTTGAATTCAGAATGGAAACCAGGATTTGTGTTACATTGGGGAAGAGGTTTTGCTTTTGTTTCCACAGTGGAAGAAAAGCTATGGATACCATTAAAATCAATAAAGATTAGATCTGAACAAGAGAGACCTCTTGATTAGGAGAGGCAATAGTTCCTAAAACAGCTTGGTCTTTCAATCATAACTAACTTGTAAGACTAACAAATGCCTTTCATTTGATCAGTATGAAAAAAATTAATTTTTTATCATTAAATGATAATACTTTTCTGTTGCCAAAAAACCATTTTGTCTTAACAAAGACATAATCTGCCAAAAAGGGACTTCTAAAAGTTAGGGTTGGGGTAGGATTTGCTTTTTTTTCCCAGGAGAATGAAAGCATCCAACTAAGGAATCTGGAGATCACTGGACAAATGAGACATCTGAAGAAGGACAAATTACCTAGAGAAAATGTCCCAAGAAAAGTAAATTGGCCCAATGGTAAAGCACATTTCCAACAGGATTAAATTTCATAAATCGTCCTAAATGTTTGTTTCTACTGTTATCTACAGACATTTAAGGCAAATGGTCTTTTTGTAGTCCCTATTCAATTAAAATTTAAATCTGGCTTTGGAGTTGGAGAATGGCTCTCTCCTTCTCTAAACCCAAACATGCTTCTTAAAGGAAAATCCAAAATCTGTCTCATTTCAGAAGAGCCACATGCTATGGGACAGAAGAAAAATGAAAATTAAGGGACTATTCTATTGCCACTAATTTTATAATCCTTTGGTTTTATTTTGACTCATTAAAACATTTTTTAAGGTGTGGTGATATTGTGTTCCCCAAAATATTGTGCACCCTAGTAAACTTATCTTGGGTCAGAGAACAGAACAGCCACTAGATACAGAGGCCAGAAAATGGTGGCACACACATCTTTAATCCTATCACTTGGGAGGCAGAGATCCGATGTATCTCTGTGAGTTTAAAGCCACACTGGAAACAGCCAGGCATGGTGACTTACACCTTTAATCCCAGGAAGTGAGCCTTTAATCCCAGGAAGTGATAGCAGAAAGCAGAAAGATATATAAAGTGTGAGGACCTATCAGGAACTTTGGCTGGTTAAGCTTTTAGGCTTTTGAGTGGAAGTTCAGCTGAGATTTATTTGGATGAGGACTCAGAGGCTTCCAGTCTGAGGAAAAAGAATCAGCTGAGGAACTGGCAAGATGAGGTATCTGTGGCTTGTTCTGCTTCTCTGATCTTCCAGCTTTAACCCAATACCTGGCTCTGGGTTTGATTTTATTAATAAGACCTTTTAAGATTCATGTTACATTAAGGTATAAATATTATCTCAAAATTGATAAGATTAATTTTTTAACTTTTGGTTGTGATATTAATGGTCATATAGAGTACTAACTAATTCTAGAAATAGGCTTAATTTAGCATTGGGCTTGAGTCTGAAGCAGGTAACTAGAATTAAGCTTGTGTACCTCAGATGTATTTAATGGATTGTGGTCCTTTAACCTCTCCAAGATTTGCTGCATATGACATTTAAAATGTTTAAGTTTTCTGCAGTGACTCATGATCATTCCTGGCAGTGACCTTTGATGTCTCTAAAGAAGATGATGGGGCCCCACAATGATTAATCCACCTGGGTTGTGGTAAATCCACTAAGCTGACAAACACCATGTGAAGATCAGTTTTGGACTACAAATTTCTCAGGACAATTTCAAGGTTGTTAGTTGAGATTGTCAAGCCTCACAGACTGCTCTAGCCAGCACTTCAGATAAGCTCTATACTTATTCCAATCACATAGACACTAAACAAAAAATAATACAGCTAGCTTTCATAGGTCTTGACCATTATCCCATTTTCTCAGGATCCCTTGAAGATCCTGTCACCCCCAGACAACAGGAAACAGTCGAGAAAATACAATTCCAATATTTCCAAGAGGTGGGGTGGGTGATTTTTGGTCATTTGGTTGAGTAAAGATGTTTGTCATCATTTAGGGGGTTGAAAGTTTGGTCGTGATCAGGGAAAAAAA